GAACTTCTGGTCTAATCTTTTGCGTTTTTGTTCATGTCTCATTTTTGTCAGCGTCGATATTGTTCGCTAGAGAGAATCGGCAACGGGTCCGCCAAATTGTATCGTGCATTTTGCATTCTGTTCAATTACAGACCGGTACCTGTGAAGGCGTAGGTGACACTCGTTGATCAATATCCGTGTCATTTGCCTGCAAAAGCGTTGAATAACCTTTCTGGCCACTTCAGTATTCACTGGAGTCCTGTAACGTAGGCCTACGAGCAGCTACGATTCCTACACCGACATGTTCGTGATGGAGTGGCCCCAGAGGGCCTACGTTACAGAATTTAAGTGTATACGATGAAGTGAAGCGATGAAGAAATCAAAAATGAACATCGATAAAATAGTGCTACCAGCCGACAAGGGAAGAGCAACAATCGTGATGGACCGCAGCGATTACAACCCGAAAGCGCAAGCCCTTCTCGACGTTCAAAAATCCTACAAATCCATGCCTTCCGCACAGGCTAAATCGATGATCAGCCAGCTTACCGGACTGCTGAACCGACTCCGGAGTACCAACGTGATATTGCAAGATGAATGGTGACAAACTAAACCAACCGACAGGGCACTGGCCCGGTTTTACGGATTGCCCAAAATACGCAAGCCCAACGGTCCCCTCTGACGTTGAAAGGCAGCCCTACTGACAAACTATCCAAATGGATGTCACGAAAACTATTTTTTTCCGAGAGGGCTCGAGGACCTCAGTCAATGCGGCCTTCCAATTTCTGGCCATGTATGCGGGGAAGAACGATCCAACCAGATGAAACCATGGTATATTTTGATGTCACTGGTGTCTGCTGCAACTGAACGTATCGCTGCAGCATTCGACGTAGGTGTTGATCATCGTCCGACAGCTACCATGCTTTCATGGGTCATGCAATTAAGAGACCCATTAGAGATAGGTGAGCAGTTTGGTGTCGTTTATCAAGTACTATGTCGCGACTGTTTTTACTATTATACAGGGCAGACCGGGCGACGACTTAGCGGAGCACAAACGGGCAGTGCGGAAAGGCGACCCACTGTCCCAGA